GGCGAGCGGGGGCCGGGGAATCGTGTGGGGTCACGAGGGAGTCGGGGGAGCACGGGGGAGCGGGTAGTGGGCACGATCGTCAAGAATCGAGAGGGGAACGGCGACGGGAGTCGGGTCGCGTGGAAGATAGCACAGGGGGGAAGTCGGGTGTCGGGGGGAAACATCGAGAGTCGGGGAGGGGAGGTTGCGCGGAGTGGGATCGGAGTCGCGAAAAAAAAGAAGAAGAATCGAAGAAGAAGAAGAATCGAAGAAGAAGAAAAGAATAAAAAAAATAAAAATAAAAATTATCGTCGATTACTTATCTGCGCGGGGTAGCAACGACGATGACGAGGATGGCACGGTGTGGCGACCAGGACGACGGGCACGGCGATGGTGACATGGCACGACGACGACGATCCCGATGGTGACGATGATGACGTGGCACGACGATGACGATCGCGACGATGACGGTGATGATGTGGCACGACGCCGATGATCACGACGATGACGTGGCACTATGACGACGATCACGACGATGATGCTGATGATGGCCAGGTGATGGAGACGAAGTAGGGTGGGTCGGGCGGGTTCGAACCGCTCCGATACCAGTGTGACAGGCGTGAGGCTGAGGGAGAGCCGAGGGAGAGGAGAGAGAGAGGGAGAGAATGAGAGCACACACACACACACACTCACTCGACACGACCGAGGGTCGGACGCAGACATAGTGGCAAGGCACAAAGTCGAAGTCTTGGATTATGAATGCCTGAAACAGCAAGTCACATTGAGTACGAGTACAGCAGCAGAAAACTGGTACGAGACTGGTCCCCGTATCGTACGGGTAGCCGGTATTAGTACCGGTGACACGTACGGTACCAGGGGCATTTCTACAAAGGCCCCGAGGGCAGAATTGAAAAATGCGGTATTTGAAAGTGACGTCCGAATTGCGGCATGGCGCCAGTTGTCCAAAATCCTACGGTACCAAAGGAGGGGTTTGAAAAAAGGGATCGAGCCCCGACGGAAGCCGTAACAAAGGCCCCGAGGGCAGAATTGAAGAATGCGGTATTTGAGATGCAATCGAAACAACAAAAAGTTAGACCAGGGATCGAGCCCCGACGGAAGCCGTAACAAAGTAAGTCGGTAGAGATAGAGTAGCAATGCGATTTTCTATTTTTTGCAGATCGTTAGTCAGTCTCATACTCAAATATGTGAATAAGATGACCCTCACATGAGCCTTTCACTACACCTCGAGTAATTGTAAAGACTGAACCTTTCTGAGTCGTTAATAGGAAGGAAAGTTAGTACCAAAACCCCCCATCCCTTTGATTTAGTATTGGATGAACAATTTTTTAGTAATTAATCAAGTCATTAGTCATACTTAGACACATATCAGAGTTACTCATACATGAGTATCCTACTATCGCTCAATCTTCTGCACTTCCCCTTTTCTCTGAGTTAGCTAGTCGGATATCAAACAAGTACTAGGGAAACTCACACATGAGCTCCCTATTACTTATCTGATTCATAAGAGATCGGTAAAACAACCCTTTTTTGAAGTTGTTTCAATCGCTTTGCCTATCACATCATGAGTAACTTTCAGACAAGCGGCGTCATGACTCTCACAAGAGTCTTCACCCCTCTTGCCGTATGCTTTTGATCAGTCATCGCTCGTTTGTTAGTTCATACGGGTAGCGAAATTGAATCACATAATTATTCCTCCACCTTTCAATCTCAAGCAGATTCTTAAGTAAAAACGGCATTAAGGTAGCATACACAAGAGTACCTCGCCGCCCTTTGGTCGTGTTACTTGGTCGAGTCTCAAATGGCAAGAGTCACGCCCACACATGGGCATTCCGTTGCCCTTTACGACTAGTCCACCAGGTTAATTGGGCGACCCGCACAAGAGTCTCCCTTTGCCGTTTTTAAATTTAGCCATCTCTCCCTTCATGATAATAATCGATCCGACCGATAGTAAGGTAAATCACACATGAGTACCTCATCGCCAACCTTTTAGTTGAGTTAGCGCATACATAAGTAGCACGGCGACTCACACATGAGCCTCCATCGCACCACTTTGTTCTTCAAACCCAGACAATTTAAGTTCCTTATCGGTTAATTTAAGTGTTTTTCCTTTCATCAAGCAGGATTCTTACTTCAATCATATAACCTTTTCCCTTTTGATGTTCCTAGTCCTGAAGGAAGCTCAAACAGTATGTCACGCAACCATACATGCAGTCCATTAGATGGTTGTAGCTTGTATGGGCATAAGGGAAGGGGGTAGATCACACGTACCTTATGGTTCCCTGCCTCCAGAGTTCCTCCTGAACTCTGGCAGAGCTTCCGCAATCGCCCTGTTATCAGTCATGCCTAGTCTACGTATTTGATTGTTCGGACCTTTAAACCACTAGTACCTCTGCCACTGTTGAGAAATTACAAGGTTTTGCCAGTTCCTGAAGAAATCGAGGGTGGGACACAGGGTCGAAAATGTCCCATAAATCTGAATTTTATAGTGCCGCGAGTGAATGGAAAAAGGGAAAAAAAAATGCTTTCTCTAGTGCAATGATGTCAGGCAGGGTAGTCCAAGAGGTCATGCTCACAATCTTCCTCCACAGAATGCATCTTACAAGTAAGGCGGTCACATTATGAATGTTACTGTTTTCTTTTTTTTCTTGGTCGTGTGTTTCTTATGAGTCCCCTGTCCGTGAATTACTCAAGCTGTCCGTGATCTGCTCAAGCTGTGTTTTGTCAGAGGA